CGTGAACAAGGGCTTAACGAATGACAAATTATAACTTTAGGGTTCAAAAGTGTATTTGCACAATAGTATTTTTATACAATGTTATGGGCAATGTATTTGATAACTTTGAGACTTGGTTATTAGTGAAGCAAACGAAACATAATTTTTCTTGGGGCGATAACGCCTTTATTTATAATAAACTTTTGCTTAGTACTTATTATAATCATTATATCCCTTATATCTATTAAAATTATTAAATTGATTATAACCAATAAAACTATTATATCTCCTATAACTATTAAATTGGTTTTATCTATTATCTTCGTTATATTAGTTATCCGGGGTATAGCTAATTTCTTCATTATATTCAATATATCGCCGGCAACTCCTTTTTCGGTTAGCAATCATCAAAACCGGGGTAACATGAGTTGGCGCAGTGATTATTAGGTCACGTTTTTCCGTCCTCACAATACTATACCCTTTCAGATATTTGTACCTTCAACTTTTTTATCACTTAGCGAACTGAATCTTGACAATCGAGTGGTTTAACATTCATGCAACGCCTATTCTCATATATTCCATGTATAAACTTTGCTAAGTGTAACGTAATATATAAGTTGTTGAATTCAAATGGATTCAACTGATATTATTAAAATATAGGATGAAAACTTTAAAATTTGTTCAATATATTTCATATTTCATAGAATAGGTTTCGCAAGTTCTTCAAAAAGCATGAAGACGCACAAAAAAATTTTTATCAACTGTGATTGGCGAAGACTTCGGAACCGATCTGCATTTTGCGTAACAGGGTACGCATAGCGAGCTTTGGATTTGATTGGATGGTCGACTGAAATGCTGCACAATATGAAAGACATATTAGTGTAATGTTTCGCAGCTACAAAAATGGATTGGTAGTAATGATGCCTGATGAATGACGAATCTTTCGTCATAATGAATAACGAAACCATTTTCGTCAGGCAACTTCGAAATGACGAATGACGTAACTCGTGACGAATGACGAAACTCATGACAAATGATGAAACACATGACGAAACATAAATTTTATATGAAAAAAGAAATAATCTTTCGTGCTTTAATAAAAAGGTTTTTTTAAACCGATTTTACTATATATCTTGCTAATATCTAACATAAACACAAACGTTAATCTAAACAACAATGAACTTTAAAGAATTTTGCGCATTTCGGATGTGTAATCGACAACATGCATAAACTGTCACACATTCCGGTCTTTCGACTGTCTTAGGGATGGTTCGGTCAGCTTATAGTCAGCTAGTCGACCGACTATAACCGTAGTCGATAATAATCGACTAGAGCGTCTTAGCTGACCGGCTAGCCGACACGGGATATTCCGTATTTTCGGGCTGATCTGTGTCGATCTGTTTATGATTTTAAATGCTTTTAAATGCTTTAGACACTGATCGACTATAACCGATAATAATAATAATAATAGTAATAGCTGACCGATAACCAACCGTAGCTGACCGAACCCATCCCTAGTCTGTCTACATAAAGACAATTTATTCATCTAAATATTTAAAATAAGCTATTTAACTTTATTTTGGTTTGTGAGTATAAAGAATATTTATTAAATTAAATATAATCAATTGATAAATGCACACACTATGTATACCCTCTTTAAATGCACATTAAAAGGATCATCTAGGGCGGCCCCAAAAGTGCAGTGACATAATTTAGATAGTTAGTCTGCCTGCATTAATTAAATTTATGCCGATGATCTTCAAAATTTTAATTTGGCCAAATTTCCAATTTTTGAATATAAAAAGGAATGAAATTGCACCTGCTTCGGTAAAATTGGTTGGTAAAATTGGTCCGGAAATTTTTTTACTTAATGGGTGACTGTAGTTAATTAGTAGAATTTTAGTTTGGATACGTCAAAAGTCATGTTACTGCAAGTTTGTTGGTCGCCCTGGATGATGCACAGTAAAATGTCTTCCATAAATGCATGCCCTCTCTAGATGCACATTTTTAAAACTTTGGCCTATAGTCCCAAGGAGGTGCATTTATGAAAGGTTGACTGTATTTAAAATAAGCTTTCAAGTTCATGATTATTTAATATTTAATTTCATTTAAACTACTGCAGTAAGTATAAGAAACATTCAGTAAGCCAGGTATTTAAAATAAGCCATTCAAGTTCACGAATATTATTACTCTTTAATTTCATTTTAGTCCGATGTGTAAAAACAATATTATGTATAAATGAAAAAAATAAAGCTAAAATAAAAAAAAATAAAAAAATAAAAAAAAAACAAAAATACAAAAAATATAAAAAATAAGAAAAAACAAAAATAAAAAAAAAATTAAAAAAAACTAAAATAAAAAAAAAACTAAAATAAAAAAAAAACAAAAATAAAAAAAAACAAAAATTAAAAAAAAAACAAATAAAAAAAACAAAAATAAAAAAAAGAGTTTTCAAAGTATATTGAGTCTTATTTATTTGTATCTCTTATTCCTTATCAAAAATGTATGATTACTTCTTACATGGTTCCTTATCAAGCTTAAAAATTAAAAATTTTGCTCGATAGCCTGTTAAATCTGATAAGAGAATAGTCTATTAAGTACATCTCTGCTATCTACTATAAATCCAATAGTTTATAATCTTTGAATCTGATAATCTTTCAATACTTATGTAACACCTGCCCACCTTACAAATCGATTTTGGGAGGTTCAACAGTAAATGTTTAATTTCTCTGTTCGAATAATTTAGAATTATATAATTATTCTATGTATAGTTGGAACATAAAACCTTATAATGAAATAAATAATGATTGATTATCATAGAAGTGTCATCCTAAAATTATAGATTTATACGTAATTCATCTATGGGAAGGAAAGCCCAAGGATCAACGACGTTAAAGATTGGGTGCTCTGTGATGGTGGATTTTCTATAACTTGCGTTTCAGTGAATTCTTTGCCTTCTATTAGATCTGCGTAATGTTAAGCAGCAATGGAAGTATTGTTGAATAGGTTCTGAGGCCTTAGAGGCTGACAGCCATTTTGCAACTGGACATTATTGTTTCGAAGTTGAGTGTTAATAATTTGAGTCGTAGATTGGCTCATATTATATATTTTTTTTTTAAGAAAAAATGGAGAAAGAGGCGAAAAGTTAAAAAGTTTTATATTTCTCTTAATAGAGTTTCAAAATTAATGACTAAGTTAGTTCTATTGGATATTTATTTGGTTTTTTTTTTTTTGCACCCATATAAACTCATCGCGTCAAAAGCTGCGATTTTATAAAATTTTGAAAAATTTTCATTCTAAAAAGAAACTTTTGCTATAATGAACTAATCAAAACTTTTATGTGCCAAATATAAAAATTATGTATATCTAATTTAAATAATTTTAAATCTTTCATTGGCTAGTTTGATTTTAAAAATACGACGCAATTATGACTAAAGATATGGTGGTCATTATTAGTAAAATTGGCATCAAAAATTAATTTTTAATTATGAGGCACACGAATATTTTTATGAACAATCGATTTAATGACACGGTGTATCGGAGTCTTGCAAGATCGATATTAATTTGTCCTTAAAATTAATTTACGGTAAGTTTCAATAAAAATATTTCATAATAAACGATTTTATAATATTCAATAGTATTTGTAATTAACTCCAAGATTTCCTGATGTCATTTTTGTGGCGCTTTGCCTATACTTGTTATGTATTGTTCGTACTTATTTCCAGATCTTTTTTTTTTTTAATTGAACATCTAATTGCGTCGAACATACATAAGCTTAAAACTAATTCAGTAATTATTGTTACGACTGATGCTGAAGTTTGGCTGATGTTGAAGCTAAAAAATCTGATTGGCTAAATTTTGCAGATCACCCTAACCCTAACCAATCAGATTTTTTAGCTTCAACATCAGCCAAACTTCAGCATCAGCCGTCACAATTATTACATTGTATTAAATTTTGACGAGGAATTTTTTTTTTATTAGTGCATACTTTTTACGTTACACCTGATCATGCAATTTGATTGGCTGCGCAGAATTTTTCGGGGGGTGTTCTTGGGGTAGTTAACATTTTAGGTAGCTGCCGACACAGCAGCACGTGATTCAATTCCCTAATTCGGCCATATTCTAACAATAAACCTTAACTATAATTGTGTCGTTTTGGTTTACTCGCCACCCAAAGTAAAAATTTACGTTATTAGATTATGATCTGTCATTTGCTATTAAATTTAGTTATGAGCGATTTTTCAGTTTTTGTTACACCTGATCTTGAAATTTGATTGGCTAGTTAGGATAATTGAAAAATTTTTGGGTGGTAATTTTTACCCCTGTTGTTAAGGTTAGTACTGATCATTAGCTGTGTCGATAAGGCTGTGTCGGTGTGTAGTGAATTGACTTCGATTTGAGCTCTACTAAAATATTTCTCACATTTATTTAGTGAAGTCTCTAAGACGCAAATTAGCACATTAGATTCTATTGACTAATCGGTTTTTATTGTACCAATATACAAGGTCGGTTAAGCTGGTTTTTGGATCATCTAAACTTCAAAATCTAGCTTTATATAGAATTTGTCTGTGAAACTTTAATTAAACGTTTATACATCCGCGCTTAGCTCCACCGGATATCCGTTGATACATAAATATTACGGATATCCCAATTAGAAATGCGTTGACCAATAATATTATAGACTATATAATTTATAATCAATCATTTATTATTATCCCACCATCCGTAAGCAAAATGTGGCTAACTAATCAAGACAGAAATAAAGCCTCCCACAAATATAATATGGGTTTGAAATCCGAGGCTATGCTGATTTTGTGAATAAAAATTAAATGTCATCTAGTTATCCAATTTGAATGAACTTTTTTTTATTTGACATACCGGGGAAACTATGACGACATATAGATTATCATCATTGATGACAGATTTTCACATAATCACATGATGTTGGTCTAACCTTCTCAAACATTAGAGATTCGGGAGATTAGCGTAAAAACTCCTTACTCTACCTAAGATCTTTCGATATGGAGCATAAACTTTCAAACATTATTTACAACTCTCAGTCACATATTTGCGATCTGATTACTGCACGGGAATTATATCCCCATCGTTCACAATACACAAAGGCTATCCATTCGGATCCATATACTGTAAAGAGGCTTAAATCTTTTGATAGTTTAAAAGGTCACGAAGGTTGTGTTAACACCGTTGTATGGAATAGCACTGGTGATCTCATATTATCTGGCTCAGGTATCCTCTATTTTCTTAAAAGATCTCTCTTATACAATATTTCTTTTGTGTAAATCGGAAGTCTGTAGTATTAGGATAATTATTTTCAGCATTTAATTCATCTTTTTTCGAGTTTATCATTTAATTCATCTTTTTTCGAGTTTATCATTTAATTCATCTTTTTTCG